TCTCCCTCCTCCTCCTCCTCCTCCTACTCCTCCTCCTCCTCCTTCTCCTCCTCCTCCTCTTCCCCCTCCTCCTCATCCTTCTCTTCTCCTCATTCTCCCCCTCCTCCTTCTCCTCCTCCTCCTCCTCATCATCATCCCCATCCTCATCCTCATCCTCATCATCATCATCATTCCTCCATATCTTTCCTCCACAATTTCTCAATATGAATACTACTCTCCCTCTTCCCCTGATGACGGTTTGAAAGTGCTCGACCCCCTTCCCCCGCGTATTGTTTTTTTTTACACACAGGCTTCCCCGTAGTTGGGTTGTCGCTTGCATTTGTTTTCAAAATGCTGCTCTCGCTGAGGCGCCAGCCTCATTTTCGGACCCCGCTCGTTCCGAATCGTGCTCCCGCTGCAGCGCTGACCTCATTTCCGTGCTTCCGCTCGTTCCGAATCGTGTTCCCGCTGCAGCGCTGGCCTCATTTCCGCGCTTCCGCTCGTTTCGACTCGTGCTCCCGCTGCAGCGCTGGCGTCATTTCCTGTGCCATGCCACGGCATGCAATGCAATGCTAGGTTGATACTACGCTTTGCGGTGCTCTTCTACGCCATGCCATGCCGTGCTCTACAATGCATCGCGTACCCTTTCGGGATCATTGCCCTGCTCGACATCCGACTGTGCGAGTAGAGAGGGGATCTACGCCATGGTAAGGGATGGGAGGGAGGGGTAGGATGTCAGATATGACGCGAGCGCACCTAGCTTGTCCCCCTCCCCCTCTCCCTCCTCCTCCCCCTCCTCCTTCTCCTCATCCTTCTCCTCCTCCTCCTCCTTATCCTCCTCCTCCTCCTCTAATTCCTCCTCCATCCTCCCCCTCTTGGGGTACAACGTCTTACCCAGCCCTTGGCTCCACTGCATTATCCTCCACATGCCCAATCAGGGCAACTCGTCTGAGCGTCCTTTCTGAATCGGCTGGTTGGACTACGCGAAGCGTCTAGAATCAGCCAACAAGTGATGCAAAAGATCCGTAATAAACTTCAGGAGAGAAGCCGAACAAGGAGGTGGTCGAAACACGTGCGAGCGTTATGGACGGCTTCAGCGGTGCGCGGAAGCGCACGGAAGGGCCGGAAGCGCGGGAAAGCAGCGAAGCTGCCCCAGCAAAGGGCAGAGCAGAGGCAGTCGTTTCCTTCCTCCTTCCCCCCCTTTTTAGGCCGTCATGGGTCGTTGGTCGTTCCCCTTTTCGGTGGTCCTGCTCAGGGCCAGAGGACTGTCCCAGCGAGGGTGTAGGTTCTAGCCCCGAGGCTATTAGAAGATCCGTTCATGTTTTTCCAGCAGGATATCCCGAGCTGCCACACAGCAACCAATGCTCAGGATCGCAATCGTTATATTTCCTTCCGCTCCTCCTCCCCCCCTGCCTTAAAAAAGGCGCCCCCAGAACCCGTCGAGTGGTGCGTCTTCACCACAACTACGAGAGGAGCCGAGCCGGCCGATGTGGGCCAGCTCGATCGAGTCGGGGCGGATTCGAGGCCCCCTCGCTACCGCGCGCACCGCGCGCTGTGGCGACTCGACTCGACCTCCCCAGATCCCCGCGAGACCTGCAAAAATCACGACGGTAGGTTTTTCCCAACCATCCTGTGTTGTTGGGTCCTCGTTTTGACGGAAAAAGCGCCCCGCGTCACTTACATCTTCCTTCCTTGCTCGTCCCCCTTCTCCTCCCTCCCCAATCATCAGAATCAGCAGCATCATCATCATCATCATCATCATCATCATCATCATCATCAGCAGCAGCAGCAGCATTAGCATTAGCATCATCATCATCACCATCATCATCGTCATCATCATCATCAGCAGCAGCATCAGCATCAGTATCAGCATCAGCAGCATTATCATCATCGTCCTCATCATCATCAGCATCATCATCGTCGTCATCGTCAGCACCAGCATTTTCGTCATCGTCAGCGTCATCAACGTCATTATCATCAGCAGCACCCGTTCGTCTGCTTTCCGCATGTCATCCCTCATACGCTTCGTGGCCCCATAGGGAGCTCCACCGAAGGCCCCAGTGGCACCGCCCTCATGCGTCACCCCCACCCCGTACAGCGATTGGAGGTCCCAAAGATAGCTCCACCGAAGGCCCCAGTGGCGGTGCCCGCATGCTTCACCCCCATCCAGTACAGCGCATCGTGGCCACATAGGGAGCTCCACCGAAGGCCCCACGAGCAGCGTCCGCATGCGCCACACCCACCCAGTTCAGCGATTCGTGGCCCCCTAGGGAGCTCCACCGAAGGCCCCAGTGACGGTGTCCGCATGCGTCACCCCCACCCAGCAGCACAGCGCTTCGAGGCCCCATAGGGAGCTCCACCGAAGGCCCCGGTGGCACCGCCCGCGTGCGTCATCCCCACCCAGTTCAGCGATTCGTGGCCCCATAGGTGCAGCGCTTCGTGGCCCCATAGGGAGCTCCACTTAAGGTCCCAGTGGCACCGCCCGCATGCGTCACCCCTACCCAGTACAGCGCTTCTTGGTCCCATAAGGGAGCTCCACCGAAGGTCCACCCCAATGGCAGCGGCACCGCCCGCATGCGCCCCACCCCCCCCAGTGCAGCGCTTCGTAGCCCCATAAGAAGGCCCCAGTTGCACCGCCCGCATGCGCCACCTCCACCCAGTGCAGCGCTTCGTGGTCCAATAGGGAGCTCCACCGAAGGCCCCAGTGGCGGTGTCCGCATGCTTTTCCCCCCCCCAGAACAACGCTTCGTGGACCCATAGGGAGCTCCACCGAAGGCCCCAGTGGCGGTGTCCGCATGCGTTGCCCCCACACAGTATAACGCTTCGTGGCCCCATGGGGTATTACACCGAAGCCCCCAGTGGCACCGTCTGCATGCGTCGCCCCCACCCAGTACAGTGTCTCGTGGCCCCGAAAGGAGCTCCACCGAAGGCCATGCGTCGCCTCCACCCAGTGCAGGGCTGCGTGGCTCCCTAGAAGCTCCACCGAAGGCCCCATAGAGAGCTCCACCGAAGGCCCCAGAGGCGGTGTCCGCACGCGTAGCCCCCACCCAGTGCAGGGTTTCGTGGCCCCATTGGGAAAGGCCCCAGTGACACTGCCCGCATGCTGTTCCCCCACCCAGTGCAGCGCTGCGTGGCCACATAGGAAGCTCCACCGAAGGCCCCAGTGGCAGTGTCCGCATGCGTTTCCCAAACCCAGTACAGCGTTCCGTGGCCCCATAGGGAGCTCCATCGAAGGCCCCAGTGGCGGTGTCCGCATGCGTTTCCTCTACCCAGTACAGCGCTTGGCGGCCCCATAGAGAGTTCCACCGAAGGCCCCAGAGGCGGTGTCCGCAAGCGTTGTCCCCACCCAGTGCAGCGCTTCGTGGTCCCAGTGGGAGCTCCACCGAAGGCCCCAGTGGCTGTTTCCGCATGCGTGTCCCCCACCAGGTGCACCGCTCTATGGACCCATAGGGAGCTAGCTCCACCGAAGGCCCCAATAGCGGTGCTCGCATGCGTCTCCCCCAAACAGTACAGCGTTTCGTGGCCCCATAGGGAGGTCCATCGAAGGCCCCAGTGGCGGTGTTCGCATGCGTCCCCCCCACGCAGTACAGCGCATCGAGGCCCCGTAGAGCGCTCCACCGAAGGCCCCAGAGGCGGTATCCGCATGCGTTTCCCCCACTCAATACAACGCTTCGTGGCCCCATAGGGAGCTAGCTCCACGGAAGGCCCCAGCGGCATGGTTCGCATAGCGGCCCCGTTCCATGTCGGCACACCCCTCACACGTTTTGTGGCCACATATGACACGCCACCGAAGGCCCCAATGGCTGCGCCCGCATGCGTCCCCGCCCAATTTCGGCACACCCTTTACGCGCGTTGTGGCCCCCCACCGAAGGCGATACCCCGAACGGCGATACTCACGACTGCATATGGTTGGGCCACTCGCCAGCATAATTCGTTTGTTTCCGCTTCTGGGGGCCCTCGCCAGGCCACAGGACCAGGATGAAGAACCGGTCCTGGGGAATGGGTCGAGACTGCTGGGGGGACACGCCAGGAAAAAATCGTGGAGTTGGGGGTCTGGGTCCCTAGATATCCTCGGATGTGATTTTTGTTCCGTTCGCAGCCCCAGAAGTCCAGACCCCTTCCCCAGAGGTGGTTGAACGCCCCAGAACAATATTTTCGATGGTCATGGGGCCCGATCGCGGGCCTGGAGGCCAGAATGAACGAAACAAAAGCGCCCGGATTGAGAAAATCACATCCTCGGAAATCCAGGTTCCCGATTCGACCCGACTCGGCCTCCTCGACTCGGAGCGCCTGGGAGTGCTCGGAGGCGCCCGCGAGCGCCTGGGAGCGCCTGGGCGCGCGCTGGCCCGCGTCTGCGCGCGCCCGCGCTCGGGATGCCCTCGGCGCGCGAGGACGCGCGCCAGCCCTCGCCGCTGCGCAGGGGGGGCCCGACTCGGCCTCGAGGCCTCTGCTGGAATCCGCTCGCGGAGCCCGTGGGCCCGCTCTGCGGCCTCTGGGAGCGCCTCCGTCGCCACGTCCAGGGCCCCCGGATGCACGGGACGAGGCCTGGATCGAGCAGGGCGTCGGTCCCGCCCACGGTCAGGAAGAAGGGCTTCCTGAGCTCCCTCGCGACGCGGCCGACCACACGACGGGGCGGCGTATCCGTCGAGCCCCTCCGACCTCCTCCACTCGACCTCCTCGACTCGGGGGGTCCTGCTCGGCCCCGAGGCCTCCGCTGGGTCCCGTCGCGGAGATCAGGGGCCCCCTGGCCGACCACGCAACGTGGCAGTGCGCCCGCCGAGCCCTCCCGACCGATGCCGCCACTCCACGCACCTCTCCCAGGGTGCGCTCTGGCTCAGAACCTCGAGGCGAGTCCGGCGCTGGCGACGAGGGCCACCCGGGAGGCCCCCAAAAAGGCGAGCACGAGGCGCAGGGGTGGCGGCATGGGCACCCCTTTTCCCCCCTCCACTCCACCACCTCGGCTCGCGGCGGCGGCCCGGCTCGGCCTCGGGGCCTCCCCGGCCGCGCGGCCGCGCGCAGAGGCCCCTCGGGCCGCTGCCGTGCGGGCCGCTCTCGGCGCCCAGCGCCCTGCCCTGGCTGGCCTGCCCGGCGGAGGCACTCGCGCCTGGCGCCCAGGCAGTCGGAGGCAGGAAAGGCGGCAGCAGCACCACCAGACCACCTCGCGCGGTGGAGAAACCACGACGTGCGTGCTTGTTTGGGTGATGTCTTCTGCGGGGCGCTGCAAGAGGGCCTCGCCTGCGAGGATAGAGGGAGTTGTCATCGCTTCCTCGGCGGAAGGCGGCGGAAGGGCGGCGGAGGGTGGGCGGAAGTAAAACGAGGCCGCCTCCGACGGCGGAAGCTGGCGGAAGGCCAGCGGAAGTCAGCGGAAGCAAAAAGTTGCCCTGCAAGAGATGATAACATTTTTGGGTTCAGGGTTTCCAGAACCCGCCATGTCTTCGGCCTCTGGGGGGCCCTCGCCGGGCCCCAGGAACCGTCAAAAAACGACTCGGGTTGAAAAACGGGCCTCCAGGAGTGGGTCGGGATTTCTGAGGGTCGACGTTGTATAAAAAATCAGGACGCCAGACTTCCCTGGGGCGCCCGAGAGGGGGTGGATCTGGTAAGGCGTCGAGCTGCGCGCAGACAGCCGCCCTGGGCAGTCCCGGCCAGCCTCGGCAGGCCTCCCGAGTAGTCCCAGCTGGCCGCAACAGGCCCCCCGAGCTGGGGAGGGGGGACGCCTCGAGCGGGGAGGGAGGCCACACCACCAGGAGGACGCCCCTATGGCTCCTCGCGCTGGTGGTGGTGCTGTCGCTTTTCCTTGCTCCTGCAGGGCCTGGCGCCGCCCGACTTCCGGCTGAGGGACAGCGCCGCCGCCGCCCCAGAACCCTCCTCCTCCCTCCCTCCCTCCTCCCTCCTCCCTCCTCCCTCCTCCCTCCTCCCTCCTCCTCCTCCTCCTCCTCCTCCTCCTCCTCCTCCTCCTCCTCCTCCTCCTCCTCCTCCTCCTCCTCCTCCTCCTCCTCCTCCTCCTCCTCCTCCTCCCTGCTTCCTCCTCCTCCCTGCTTCCTCCTCCCTGCTTACTCCTCCCTGCTTACTCCTCCCTGCCTCCTCCTCCTCCTCCTCCTCCTCCTCGCCTCCTCCTTCTCCTCCTTCTCCTCCTCCTCTCCTCCTCCCCCTCCTCCTCCTCCTCTCATCATCATCATCGTCATCATCATCATCATCATCATCATCATCATCATAATCATCATCATCATCCTTGCTTTCTCCTCCTTCCTCCTCCTCCTCCTCCTCCTCCTCCTCCTCCTCCTCCTCCTCCTCCTCCTCCTCCTCCTCCTCCTCCTCCTCATTGGTCGGGTCTTCACGGCTACGCCATTGCGAACACATTATTTAACACTGCATTCGAAGACGCTTGGACATTCAAACATGCCGATCGCAAATGTCAACTCGACTACATTCTTGTGCAGAAGAGAACAATGGCATTCGTATCCTCCTGTGCAGTGTCCGCTGTTGTTGACGTTGGTTCTGATCACAGGCCGGTTCGCTTGGATCTGAAGATGCCCAAAGAATCCCGGACCAAATCAAACAGGAAAGTACGTCATCATGCTTGGTCTCTTGGGTCGTCATACATAACGCTGCTAGAAGAACGGCTTCGCAATGTCGATTGACAGAACGCCGCGCCGCATGAACGAGTCGACTTGCTAAACAGAAGCATGCTCCTAGCCGCAAGAGAAGACAAGAAGAACGCTGGGCAGCATCAGTCTGACGCGAGAATGACCGATCTGGACAAGCAGATCCGTTTCCTGATTGCCAAACGTCGTCGTCTGCAAGAATCAGAACTCCCTGCTTTGCTCAAAAAAGAGATCCGCAAAGACTGGGGCAAACAAATACAGAATTTGATACGCCGGCGGCGCAATGAGACCACGCTCAGCAAGATCAAGCAGACTCTGGCCGACTTCAAAGGAGTGAAGAACCTAAAGGGCATGCGGGGGAACCGCAAGCGCGACCATATCATCTCGATGAAGGGCCCGGGCGGCACGCTGCTGCACGAGCGAGAAGACATCGCCGAGGTGTTCGCGACCTTCTTCGAGAATCTCTACGCGAGCACCAGACATGGCTGCAGCGAGCACGTCTACGGCAGGCACTCTGGCCACTTGATTCCCCCGTTCACGCAGGAGGAGCTCGCCGCTGCAATTCGAAATATGAAAAACGGCAAGGCGGCGGATGACCAAGGCGTGCGAGCAGAGTTCTTCAAGGTAGACTCCTCGATCTTGCGCGAAATTATCCTTGCAACTTTCAACCAGCTGCTGAGCCCTACTGCTGAACTGCCCGCGGATTGGTTGTCGGCCAGAATCTCCGTTCTCTACAAGAAGGGGGACGCCTCGATTCCGTCGAACTACAGGCCCATCGCGATTCTCGCCGTCTTGTACAAGCTATTCAGTAGACTGATTTGCAGCAGACTGCGGAAGGACGTGATCCGGGAGCAATCCGTCGACCAGGCGGCCTATCGCCCAGGGTACAGCACTGTGGATAACCTGATATGCACCACGTTCCTGCATGAGGCCACGAGGGACTACAATGTTGAGCTGTGGGTTGGCATGGTGGACTTTGAAAAGGCTTTTGACACGGTAGAACATGACACTCTTTGGTCAGCGCTAGAGAAGCAGAGTGTCCGGCCAGAGTACGTTGACCTACTCAAACGGCTGTATGTTGTACAATCGGCTTGTGTTTCTGCGGGGGTGCGAAGCCGTGCGTTCAGCATATTCCGAGGTGTCAAGCAAGGCGACCCGATCAGCTCGTTTCTCTTCGTTGTCGTCATGGAACAGATTTTCCGGTCTCTCAAAAGGAGGTGGGGCAGCCTCAACGCCAGGCGCACTGGTGAATATTATGGCATTGTTGTCGACGACGCAGCGGACAGCCTGAGCAACCTGAGGTTCGCCGACGACGTGCTCCTGCTGTCTTCCAATAAGAGAGACGTGGGCCGAATGATCGTGGACCTGGATACCGAAGCGAAGAAGTACGGCCTGAAAATGCACATGGGCAAAACCGTGGTGGTAACCAACTCAGCAACGAGGCCGGCAACCATCCGGTGCAGTGGAAACGACGTGCGAGTGCTGCAGCCAGGAGAGACGGAGAAATACCTCGGCCGCAAGTTCACCTTGGACGATTACCACGGGGAGGAGTTGAACGACCGCATCTCGTCTGCATGGGCATCTTTTTGTTGCCAGAAGAGTATACTATACAATCGACACGTACCCCTTCGTGATCGCATGAGGCTCTTTCACGCCACTGTTACGCCCTGCGCAATGTACGGCTGTGCTGCCTGGACTTTGACATTCGAGCAGGAGAGGCGCCTTCGCGCAACGCAGAGGAAGATGCTACGACACATGGTTGGTGTGGGGCGCCAGCCAGACGAGCAATGGGTGGAATACATACGCAGGGCAACGGGCGCGTGTGAGTCACTCGCACGGAGACACGGGGTCCAAGACTGGGCAGACATCCTGTGGAAAAGCAAGTGGTCGGCTGCCGTCAAACTTTCTGCAGCGCAAGATGAACGATGGGGCGCACGTCTGATGAAGTGGGTGCCGTGGTTTCGAGTGCACGCACGACGAAGCGTAGGAGGCCAGCGCAAACGCTGGTGCGATTGATGCAGTCGCCCTCTCCTCGTTCGTTCGTGTCGTCGTCGTCCTCCCTTCCCTCCTCCTCTTCCTCCCTGCCGGGCTCCTTGAGGAGAACACAGGTTGGCGTGGGTATGCCCGTGGGTATTGCCCTTCCCTCGTTGGAGGGTCTGGCCGTACCCCGTGGCACGCCCAGGCTGGTTTGTGTTGTCTTGCCCGCCTGTAATGTTCTTATATGTTTCACACCACACTGATCGATTTGTTTCACACCACGCTGATCAATTTTCCGGCCCGGCGCAATGCCGGAGAGGAGGACCCGCGCCGCCTCCTTACGGGCCGCTGCTCTCTGCTCTCTGCTCCTCCTCATCATCATCATCATCATCATCATCATCATCCCTGCTTCCTTCTCCTCCTCCTCCTCCTCCTCCTCCTCCTCATCCTCATCCTCCTCCTCCTCTTCCTCTTCCTCCTCCTCCTCCTCATCCCTGCTTCCTCCTCCCTGCTCACTCCTCCTCCTCCTCCTCCTTATCATCATCATCATCATCATCATCATCATCATCATCATCATCATCATCATCGCCATCGTCATCGTCATCGTCATCGTCATCAGCATCGTCATCATCATCATCATCATCATCATCATCATCATCGTCATCATCATCATCATCATCATCATCATCATCATCATCATCATCATCATCATCATCATCATCATCATCATCATCTCTCTCATCCTCATCCTCCTCCTCCTCCTTCTCCTCCTCATCCTCCTCCTCTCTCCTCCTCCTCCTCCTCCCTCCTCTCCTCCTCCTCCTCCTCCTCCTCCTCCTCCTCCTCCTCCTCCTCCTCCTCCTCCTCCTCCTCCTCCTCCCTCCTCCTCCTCCCTCCTCCTCCCTGCCTCCTCCTGCTTACTCCTCCTCCTCCTCCTCCTCCTCATCCTCCTCCTCCTCCTTCCTCCTCCTCTCCCTCCTCCTCCTCGTCCTCCTCCTCCCCCTCCTCCTCATCATCATCATCATCATCATCCTTGCTTCCTCCTCCTCCTCTCCTTCCTCCTCCTCTCCTCATCATCATCATCATCATCATCCCTGCTTCCTCCTTCTCCTTCTCCCTGTTTCTTCCTCTCCTCCTCCTCTTCCTCCTCCTTCTCCTCCCCTCCTCCTTCCTCCTCCTCCTCCTCCCTCCTCCTCTTCGTCCCTCCTCCTCCTCCTCCTTCCTCCTCCTCCTCCTCCCCTCCTCCTCCTCCTCCTCTTCGTCCCCTCCTCCTCCTCCTCCTCATCCTCCTCCTCCTCCTCCTCCTCCTCCTCCTCCTCCTCCTCCTCCTCCTCCTCCTCTTTCCCCATCCTCCTCACTCTCCCCGCTCCTGGCGCAGGAAGGGCCGCGCAGGGCCAGGCCGAGCGTCGCAATGTTTGTCACCTCGGTCGTTTTCGTCCTGTTCGGGGCCTTGGTACCATCACAGAATGATCCAGCTCGAAGGACGACGCAGAGAAATTCGGTTAGTGGTTCCAGTCGCGATCTCTCGCGACGTTGCAATGTTTCGCGACGTCGTATCTCAGGGAAGGAAGTGCTTCCAGGCCTCCCCGATGGGGTCGAGGTAGATATGGGGTCGGTAAATCGTGCCGCATCGGCGATGCCGCTCAATGTGCAGCCCGAGTTTCTATACGCTGCCGGCGCTGATGCATCGGACCTCGCCAGTGCATCGCCGATGCATCGGCGATGCATTGGCGATGCGGCGCGATCCCCCAGCCTTATCCACTCGGACCCCACTTGGGAGGCCTCCGGTAGCACACAGCGCCGCGAGTCTTCCCGGCAGTCGGTGTTGCACGGCGGCGGAGGGGAAAAGAGGGGACGCGAGGGGCAGGGAGAAGCGAGCAGACGGCGGCGAACGCGCAGGCGGGCGACTACAACGCTCCTCGAAATCAATGCGGTAAACGCGGCCCACGGGGTCAGATGTTTGTGTTTGCAGTCGTCAGTTTCGGCGCGAGCATTTGAATTTTAGGTTCCTGGGGCGCCACCACGTCGCGGGATAAACTTGCGTTTCATGTCGAGGGGAGGTGTAGGGCCAACGGGACGAAACGGGCGGGCGAGCGGGAAGCCCAGAATCGTGAGTGGGGAGGAGGTCCACATCCACGGCGGCGCGGGCTGGACTCTTCGGCCGCGGCCCCGTGGATGCAGGATGGCGTCTCGTGCGGGTGTCCGCGCGGAGCGTGCCCGCGGGCTCGCGCAGCCATGGGATCGCGCCACGGTGCCC